TTTTTTTTTTTTTTTTTTGGTTAAAGAATTGCCAGAAGGTTGTCAATTTTGTTGGATCTTCTCAAAAAATCAATTTTTCCTGTTTCCTAATTTATCACAGAAATTTAATTCCATCTTTCCTTTTACCATTGTTTTGTTGTTCTCTTTCAAATTTCAAAAATATGAATGCCTACTATGTTTTCAGTCTGTAGCCCACGTTTTCCAACCGGTAAAACTTTGGGTAATAAGCACATCCGTGCACTTTTCCACATTCTACAGTCTGGCTCCTGTCCTCAGCACACAGCTACAATTGTTCTCAGTAAGTCACGGATCCCTATATGTTGTCCAAGATAACAAACCTACTGTCCTTTTTTTACTAGAACTCTTTATACGGTATCTGTCATTAACCATGTCCTGCTTCTTGAAACTCTATTCTCTTGGCTTTTCTGAGAAAACCCTTTCCTTGCTTTTCTCCTGAGTCTCCCATCATCCTCCCTCAGCATCCCACCACGGTGGGCTTCTTTTCTTCTCTAAATATCAGGGTTTCCCAAGACTGTGTGTCTGAGAACTTTGCTCTTATTAAACATGATTCATAGTGACCTCATCCAAATCCATGGATCGAACTATCTTTTATATGTAAAACTATCTAAACCCATTGTACAGCTCTCAACTAGATAAGACAAAATACGATATCTCAAGGTATCCTGTCTAACTAATGTCAGCAATATCATCTTTATCCTGTAAATTTTACCATCTTTCCAGGTTACAGATACTTGTGATTACTATCAATATTCCCAGGTTGGTAACATAGGAATTATTTTAGGTTCCTCCCTCTCATGTACCCATATTCAATGTGTTCCTTCATGGCTGTTCCTAGAATCTCTACCTTAGATCATGATTTTCATAAAAAACTACCCTGATACTCCCATCATCTTCCTGTCTGCAACCTGGTCTCTCTCCTATCTACATGCTACACCACTTTCCAAATGATTTTTTTTATTTAAATTTATTTATTTTGAGAGAAAGAGAAGCAGCAGGGAAGAGGCAAAGAGAGAGGGGGACAGAGGATCTGAAGCGGGCTCTGTGCTGACAGCAGAAAGCCCAACGCAGGGTTGGAACTCACGAACTATGAGATCATGACCTGAGCCGAAGTTGGATACTTAACCAACTGAACCACGCAGGCGCCCCCAGGTGATTTTTTAATGAATGAAATATTTGTTTACTGGTGACTCACAGCTTGTGCTCTTACACATTCTTTTTAGTTCCCCTACTTAGGATAGCCTCTGTCTACCCCCTTATCTACCTATTTAAATTCTACGTCCTTCCAAGTTTAAGCCTTCTATCTCCCTCTCTGGAAAGCTCCTTCTCCTTTTGTGCTAGCATTGCACCTTGGGCACATGTCTTTCATAAAACATGTGGTTCTATGGCAACCACTGATTAATTTAACTATTTTCCACTAAAGGAGAAGCAACCCGAGGCCAACCAATCTTGTTTGCCACTGTACTCTCATCAGCTAGCAAATGTTTGTTCATGTTCAAAGTACACATGAACTATTTTAAAAAATTTTTGTTTAAGTAAGAACTCATGTAAACATATACACAACCAGAACTGTTAGTCAGAGAAAGGCAGATATCACATGATTTCATTCATATGTTGGAATCTGAGAAACTTAACATATGACCATAGGGGAAGGGAAGGAAAAGTAAGATACAAACAGAGAAGCAAACCATAAGAGTCTCTTAAACAGAGAACAGGGTTGATAGGGGTAGGGAAAATGGGTGATGGGCACTGAGGAGGGCACTTGTTGGGATGAGCACTGGGTGTTGTATGGAAGTGATAAATCACGGGAATCTACTCCTGAAGCCAAGACTACACTGTATGTTAACTGACTTGACGATAAAAAAGTTTAGAAAACTAACTAACTAACTAAATAAAATCTTAAAGAAAAAAAAAAAAAGAACGGACTACTAGTAAACTTACATAAACAAAAATACATACAACAGAAAAAAACATAAGCGGGACCTGGGTCCATTATGGACCTGGGTCCATAAATTCATGTTGCTTTTCCAAAAGAATTTGAGTCCTACAGGAGGTCAGACTCCTAAGCTTCTCTGAACTTAGGAATGTAAAAATTGACCAGATAACTCAGGATTGGAATGCTACCAACTATTCTATATTACAATTCTGGGTCTAACATAGCCAGACTATTACAGTGGTATGATTAAAAGAAAAAAAAAAAAAGCTAGTATGTTGATTGTGATGCATCCTTAAAAGACCTGAGTCCTTAATAATGAAATAAAAATAAAAAAGGGTTTGCTTATTGTAAATCCATTCCTTAAGGTCTGATCACAACACACTGCTCAGCTGAAAATATTAGCTCTTGGGACTCTCAGATTTTTGTTACCAGATTTTTGTTGTGGTGCTTTATTTGTTTCCGGTGGGAGTTTTTTTATTATCTTGTTTATTTTCATAATTAATTGCAGTATATAACTCAAAGGAGCATAAATTTCTTAAGGACAAAGCTGGACCATCAGAGAGTAAAACTATAAGCAAACTGTTTAGAAAAAAACATTCAGTAAGAGTTTCAGTTTTCCAATCTGTATGTCATCTTAGCCCTGACCTAAATATAGTAAGTTTGCTTTAATTACAACTTTTTGGTTATAGAAAACTGGTAGTGAAACTAAGGCTTGAGATTCTACCTCTAATTATGACTCAGTGTTATACTGTTCCAGGAACCCAGCCTATAAGCCCAGATCCAGTAAAGCCATCTCAAAATAAATTTAATTGTTCACAGGAAGAACTCAAAACAACCCTGTATGGAATGGGAAAAAATTACCAATGTAAAAACAGTAAAACATTTTTAAATGTGCAAAACTCACACTCACATAGTTTAAGAACTGCATTTTCCAAACATACCTTGTCCATTAATTTGCTTGCATGAAGACTCAAGCTATTGAAGAATATTTTTTTGCTTAGCAAATGCATATCTTCAATGGTAGTCAATAATGTAGTTGCACTATTTCCAACAATGCCACTAAAAGCAAAGAATATTTCAGGTTGCAAAACAAGCCTCACACAATGAGTTCTTTAACTGAATACAATTCGCTTAAAAGATCTAGATTTAAAATAAAAGTATGTATGGAGAATATAAGCTGTGAATTAAAAACAACTACTTTAGTGTCACATAAAAATGACAGAGATATTTTACTTAAGAGTTAGGTAACAAACAAATGTTTCCAGTGTTTCACAATCTCTTTTAGAAAAACACTTATAAGATGCAAATCCATCCATTTTTCTCTATTACGGTAAATGCATGTCTTGATTATCCAAGACCTAATTTTAACTTTAAGGAAGCCATTCCATCAATAATAACGCTATTCATAAAATATTTAAATTTTACTAACACTGATTTATTCTTTCCATTAAAACTCTTACACCAGGGGCGCCTGGGTGGCTTAATCAGTTAAGTGTCTGACTTCAGCTTGGGTCATGATCTTGTGGTTCGTGAGTTGGAGCCCCGCATCGGGCTGTGTGCTGATAATGCAGAGCCTGCTTTGGATCTTCTGTCCTTCTCTCTTTCTGCCCCTCCCCCACTTGTTCTCTCTCTCTCTCTCTCTCTCTCTCTCTCTCTCTCTCTCTCCCCCCCCCAAAATAAGTAAACATTAAAAAAAAGGTGAGTAAAACAAAACAAAAAACTCTGACATCGTATATAAAATATAAAGTTTCTCAATTTTTATACGACTGCCTAAGTAGCAGCAAATTTAGACTGAATATGAAAAATCTTGTAATATTTTAAAATATCTAATTATTAGCACACTCTATACTCCTCAATTTGCTATTACAAGGATATTTCTTAGACCTATCTAAGGAATTTTCTCATTTTTGCTAGAATGTAAAACAAGCCTGTATATAAAACAATTCCCAATTTTATTCTAATTCATGTACTGAAAGTCATTTAAAAATTTGATATTAGGAGAAAAGGTTTTTGTTGATGTGAAAATATACCATAATCCAGTAGGAAATCCTAATTTCTAATGGCACAATACCATCTTACTATACCTAAAAGAAATTTAGATTGCTGAAAATAAATATAATGGCATTACTAAATACCATTTGATAGTAAACAAACAAAAAAAGCCAATTTACAGAAAACTGATATATTACACATGACATGTTATAAAAGCAAATACTAATGCCATTTACTTCAATACATTCTGAAACTAAAACAAATTGGAATGAATTCTAATATAGTTAATGCAGGCAAACCAAATTAACAAACATATATATAAAGTAAACAGCAAAATAAAAGCAAATTCCTAAACAGGTAGCCATAATATCTATATTTACAAAAAAGAAAGTATTTCAATTAAAAATAGTATAAGCTAAACACCAAAATAAACTGAAAGAAATTCCCACACATGCCTATACATACAATAAAAATAAGTATGTTTCTGAATAGTAAAATATACCAAGCAACAGGGGAAAAAACTGAATGGATACAAACAGAAACTGATATTTAAAAATTTCTTTAATGTTTATTTATTTATTTTGAGAGAGAGAGAGAGTGAGTGAGTTGGGGTGGGGCAGAGAGAGAGGGAGAGAGAATCCCAAGCAGGCTCTGTGCTGTCAGCAGAGAGCCCGATGTGGCACTCGAACTCACGAACCATGAGATCAATTATGACCTGAGCTGAAATCAAGAGTTGGACACTTAACTGACTGAGCCGCCCAGGCGCCCAGAAACTGACATTTTAATGAAAACTTTGGAGAGATAACAACATATGTTTACATTCATTTAAAAAAAAAATTGGAGTTATCAGCCATATTTTGCACTTACTCAGATCTAGAATTTACTAATGGTTGCAAAGTACTCAACAGGTACCAGTAACCAGGCCAAGTACTTACAGATGGTTATTGCATTTCACTCCATATTTATACCCAACATGCTTATCCTGCCATTACTTGATTTTTCAATTTTAGGTATTATTTACAAAAACTCTGCTATGGAAGATGAGAGTCAAATTCTCTTAACATGATGCTCATCCCCCACCACAATATACCCAAACTTCAGCTTTCCCAGGCTCTCTAATACAGTTATATCACAGGGTTCTGGTGAATAAACACTCAATGTTTACAATATTACAGGCATGTAAATACTATTCAGAGCTAACTGAGGCATCAGGGAATTCAACATAAGGGAATGAGCAGGCTGATGAAGAAGACAAACCCCAGTGTCACAGCCTTGCAGGAAGCCTAGAAAGCAACCAGTCCAGACTGGAGGAAGAGAATGAGGGTTCCAAGAGGAATGTAGGAAGGGAAGAGGGGAGAGAAGTTGGGAAGAATTGGTAGATGTGCTTGACTACACGGTGAGAAAATGTGGAGTCCACTTAAGGGTTTGGGTCTGCAGCAAAAGCACTACCAGGAATTTATCCAAAGGATACAGGACAGGGGCACATGTACCCCAATGTTTATAGCAGCGCTTTCAACAATATGGAAAGAGCACAATGCCCATCAACTGATGAATAGATGAAGCTGTGGTATATTTATACAATGGAATACTACTTGGCAATGAAAAAGAATGAAATCTTGCCATTTGCAATGATGTGGATGGAACTAGAGGGTATTATGCTAAGTGAAGTAAGTCCGAGAAAGACAGAAATCTTTTTTTATTTTTTTTAAATTTTTTTTTTTTTCAACGTTTATTTATTTTTGGGACAGAGAGAGACAGAGCATGAACGGGGGAGGCGCAGAGAGAGAGGGAGACACAGAATCGGAAACAGGCTCCAGGCTCTGAGCCATCAGCCCAGAGCCCGACGCGGGGCTCGAACTCACGGACCGCGAGATCGTGACCTGGCTGAAGTCGGACGCTTAACCGACTGCGCCACCCAGGCGCCCCAAGAAATCTTATGTTTTCACTCATATGTGGAATTTAAGAAACTTAAGACCATGGAGGAAGGGAAGGAAAAAAAAATAGTTACAGACAGAGAGGAAGACAAGCCATAGGAGACTCTTAAATACAGAGAACAAACTGAGGTTTGATGGGGGTGGAGGGGCAGCGGGCTGGGGAAAACAGGTGATGGGCATTGATGAGGGCACCTGCTGGGATAAGAACTGGGTGTTGTATGTAAGTGATGTATCACAGGAATCTGCTCCCAAAGCCAAGAGCACACTGTATACACTGCACGCTAACTTGATGATAAATTATATAGTAAAAGAAAAAAAAATTGGGGTCTAAAACAGCGATCAGGACATAGGAAAGTAAGCAAATACAAAAACAAAGCAATTACTAAGTACAGAGAGAAAAAGGTTTACAAGTAAGGAAATGTAATCAAAGTATGCTGGATTCCCTGTTTTCATGGATTCTGCATCTTCCTTTGCCTCGTTTACTACTGCCTTTTGATGGAATCTATCCTCTGGGAGTTTGAATGTACAGGGGGCATTTTTTTTTTTTTTTGATAATTTGCACGTCTCCTATTGTTCCCCAATTTTCTTTGCAGGTTTCTTTTCTTTCTAACCTCTAAATATGAGAGCTCCCCAGGTCTCAGTCTTAGGCCTCTTCTTCATCTGTACTTACTTGCTAAGTGATCTTACCTAGTCCTGTTGCTTCAAATGCCATCTATATGCTGCAAACTACCAGATGTATAGGTTCAGCCCTGACTTCTCTGTTGTCTGCTCACTCAACATATCCCACCGCATGTTCACAGGGATGCTGAATCCCACACGGCCAAAACTGAGCTGAACTCTTCAGTACCCACCCACTCCCATAAACCTGTTCCTCTCCAGCATCCTCCCTCTCAGCAAACGACAATACCACCCATCTAGCTGTTCAAACCAAAAGCCAAGAATTCGTCCCAGACTCCCCACATTTCACCCTACCTAGTCCATATGTATTTCCTATTGTCTCTGGAAACCCTACTTTTCATCACCCCAAGACTATCACTCTGACACATCACCATCTCTGCTCAGAACACAGACTGCTTCCTAAATACCTTGTTCCCCTTTACCCTGGTACACTACATTATCCACAGTGTCCAGAGTCACCTTATATATCATAAATCAGCTCAAGTCACTGAAACATCCCCACCCCCCCACACACACATACATCTTCTCCAACCCTCTCAGTATAAAATCAAAATCTTCACCATAGCCTACAAAGTCCCACATGATCTGGCCTTTGCTTACCCCTCTGATTTCATTCCTCCCTACTCCTTCCATTCACTCTATTCCAGCCACTGGCCTTCCTTATGCTGCTGTAAAATGCAAGCTTCTTCCAGCCTCAGGACCAGAATACCCTGTCTAGGATGCTCTTTAACAAGATCTTTACATGCCCGACTCCTTCACGCTGTGCAGGTCTGTGTTCAAATATCACCTCCACCAAAAGGCCTTTAAAATAGCCCCATGCACATACACTTGCTCATATGTGGTCACTCCCTACACTTCCTTTCCTTTCTCCTGCTTTATTTCTCCTCGTTGTCCTTAGCACTATCTAAATTATTATTTTATACTTGTTTGTCTTTCTCCCCATTAGAATGTAAGTTTAAGCAGTTTTGTTCACTGCCATATCTTTAGCATCTAGTAGACTGACGTCTGCAATCAATTTTTTAATTGACTAAATGAGGAAATATGTGAACAAGTAAAAAAAGTACATGGAAAAAAATGATCAAAAGATCCAACTGTCATCCTCAAAATCATCACTTTCAAAGACAGAAAAATTATAATTCTCAGAGTCTAATAAATATATTACCTTCAGAATCCAAATGATTTTTTCTTAGCATTCTTTGTATTAGAAACTGAGTTATCTTTATCTTCAAATGATAAATTTTGTTCAGTACCATCATGGGTATTACTACATAAATAATTTAAAAATTATTTAGCGCTACCTTTGCCTAATACGGCATTAGTTATGTGTTAGCTGCTTTCAGCTGCTGTTGTGTTTTCTAAGTACGTATCATTCTCTTATTTTAGGAAGCTTACCACATCACAATTGAAACTAATTTATTGCTTCTGAGTCATGGCAAATGATGGTAATAAATTTATATCTAAAATGTTAGAGGACTAACCCAAATCCTATCACTGATTAGTTATATATAGCCTGTGGCTTGTTGGTTTTGTTTAAAAATTTACCGGGGTGCCTTGGTGGCTCAGTCAGTTAAGCGTCCGACTTTGGCTCAAGTCATGATCTTGTGGTCCGTGAGTTCGAGCCCCACATCAGGCTCTGTGCTGACAACTCAGAGCCTGGAGCCTGCTTCAGATTCTGTGTCTCCCTCTCTCTGCCCCTCCCCTACTTGCGCTCTCTCTCTGTCTCTCAAAAAATGAATAAGTGTTAAAAAAAAAATTTTTTTTTAATTTACTAATAGCATGTGAATTTCATCTCTTAACTGTGAAGTTCTGGGTGGCTAGCCTCAGCTACTAGAAGGTAGGGAACGTCACCACCATAGTCTTTTGGTGCTTCCTTAACTAGAGATCCCTGCACCTCTCCTATTAGTTATAATAACCCCTGGATTTTAACAATTGGACTTCTGTTCCTGATATAACATACTGGATGAAGAATAATTGTTAAATCATTTTTAATGGACTAATAATGGAAACTATCCAAAATATAGTGTGAAAGGTCATTGTTTTAACACAACTACATGGAACACAAGACACGGAATATGGTCTTATAGTGACATTTATAATAAAGCTCGAGTGTATACCATCACTGCAAAGTGAAGATAAATGAATCTTTTGGAGTCAAAGATCAAATTATAGAGAAAATAAGTGGTTCCTAATCAGATAAAGTAGCTTTTATTGAAAGCAGACAAAGCTATAGTTCTGTTTTATCATTAATAGAAAACTAAATGTTAAAAAAAAAAACTTACATTATTTATACCCAGAATAGGACACTTCACTTATTGTGCTCTATTTTGAGTGTAATGTATAATTACTGTAGGTACCATGGATCTCTTTCACTAATGCAGAAGAACTAAAAAAATACTCACACTACAAACTTATACTGTTATATAGGCTGTGTGTGTGTGCATGCGTACAGTTATGTGTGGGGAAGAAAGGGAAAAGAAACGGCGGACCTCAAAATACAGCACAAACAACACATACATAATGATTCATAAGGTGTGGAGGTTCTGCTGGTTTATATTTAGTCAAACAAATGGTGAAAGCAAACAAAACCAAAACCTTATACTGTGTTTCTACCTGAAATAACGTATCACAGAGGGTCTAACACATTTAACCATTCCACTTACCTGATTGTATGATGATAAAATTTGAGGAGGTTAGAAATTTTATATAACAAAACTGCCCCAGGTTCAGCAACTATTACTTGTTCAATTCGAACCTGTGAAAACGTGAAAAAAAATTAAAACATTTCTTAAAGGCTTAATTTTCATTCTACAATCACATGTGGTCGAAACAGCATTTTAAAAAGACAAAATTTAATTCTGCAGAAATCACAAAATTCCTTCTAAGTAATCTCTGAATATTAAACTATAAGGGATAGTAGAATAACAGAAATATTTTAACACAGATATACTCTACCAAAAAAAAAAAAAATCCTTTACCTACAGAATTTGGCTTGAAGGCAGTCGCTACCAAAAATAAACAATACATGAGGAGGTCATTGTGAGGTTCTTTACCAGTATATAATGGAATTTAGTTCAGCACTATTTGCAAATCAGCTGTTACCTCCCTAAGAGCAGATTATCAGTGCAAATACTGCTCTATCCTCAACTATTCAGAAAAAAAAAAAAAATTAAAGAATTCTTATCTTCAAACTATTATATCGAATTTCCTTTTTTAAATTAGCACCAACATATATGTCTAATTACGACTACCAGGGCAATATCAGATCTAGTTCAAAGTTAACTCGATCTCTCTTAAGGTTAACTACTAGGAATCTTTAATTAAATTCCATCCCTTATATTCCCTTTATATCCCCTAATTAATGAATGCAAGCTAAATTACACCGGGATGCACTTCCTTACATATTGTATCTGCTCTTAAGCCGCTGCTTACATTGTGTCTTTCTGTTTCCTAACTAGATTCTAAACACAGACCTTGTATTTGTTTTCTGCTGCTTTTACATCTCCACAGCATCTGGGAGAACAGTACATACACAACAGATGCTTAACACATGCTTTTGAAAACTGAAGTTTCTCTGTACTTAGATTTTGGAATATGTCATAATGCCAACATACGTGATTTGCTAAAATAGATTTATAAATGTCTGTATGTGAGCATACAAAAACCTCTCAGATTACAGAAATTAAATGACCTTTACATTAATATGTTTATGAAATTTATACATCTTTTGGCATTAGACATTAGTAGATGAGCTAACTAACACAATATTATAAATTGTGAACAGCATGTGAATTTAAAAACCACAATTTACACATTACAATTTCTTTCTAGGTCAAGGCCTGCCTCAATAGTGATTTAAATGATATATCAATAAGTGATATTTTCTGAATGTTAATGTAATTATCAGGACAAAATATAATAGATGCTAATTGTAGATAGACAGCTCTTCTCTAGTAGATTTGTAACAGCATCTTAGCTATCTGGCAAAGTCTCTCCAAAAATGTTCAGGCATCAAAAAAATACTCTTTACGCCAACTCTGTCAAGCAAGTGAGAAAGGAGGAAGAGGGAGGGGAAGAAGGGAAGGAAAAGAGGGAAGACACAGAGGAAGGAAGAGGAAACAAACCCAGTTCCGCCTCTTTTCACACACACACACAAAGGTTCTGCGGGAAAGTAGCATCCCTTCAGCTACGATGAAAAGAACAGAGAAAGGCTGAAAAATCAGGGGATTTATGTCCAATACACGAAGGTTGTTTGCCACACCGTTTTCTGAGGGTGACATAAGAGGACCACCATTTTCAGCAAAGGCCAACAGTCCCAGGAAAAACAACAGGCGATGAGAGAAAAACACAAATGTACAAAGGCTGAAAGAGACTACGGGGGTGGTGGCAGCAGGAACCAACTAGAAAGTAGAAGGCGCTGGAGAAAAACAAGCATTATTAGCAAAGCTGAACAGCAGTGACGGGAAGAATGGCTCAGACGTAACAGGCTTCCAACTGTCCCTGGCACATAATAAACACTCAAGAAACTGTAACTGTATCGGAAGTGGCAGAGATGATAAAGGCAGAAATTAAAAGTAGCCAAAGGGGCCACAGGCAGTTGGACAACAATCTTGGGAGGAGATAAAAGACCCAGTGGCGGCTCTCCATTCCAGTGCCAGAGAGACAGCTGCAGCAAAGCAAGAGTCAGAAAGCAAGAGAAAGATGGAGAGAATCTGTGTTTATGGGGAGGGGACAAAAGGAGGAGGCAGGACTGAAAGGGATAATAACAAACCTTTGTCTCAACATCATAGACGGCTGCTTGGAGTAGACGTTTGTTCCCCAGTACACATCAGCAATCTGAGGGCACTATTTCTGTACCATGCAATACAGCATTCAGCTCTATTTCCCATGCCATTTATCTTTGTATATGAACTTATTTTCATAGAACCCACCATAATGTATGAAGGTCTGAGCATATCATAAGTTTTTATTAAGAAAGGTAAAATTCAAACGTTAGCTAGTAATCGCTTTGCAACCCAGAACAGTCATATAAAAAGAAGCATCATCTTACCACCTATAGACTTGGAAAACAAAGATTCAATACATTAATTCTTTTTTTTTTTTAATTTTTGTTTATTTTTGAGAGAGACAGAGACAGAGCACAAGCAGGGGAAGTGCGGAGAGAGGCGGAGACAAAGAATCCGAAGCAGGCTCCAGGCTCTGAGCTGTCAGCACAGAGCCCGACATGGGCTTGAACCTGTGAACCATGAGATCATGACCATGATCACGATCAAGCTGAAGTTGGACGCTTAACCGACTGAGCCACCCAGGTGCCTTGATGATGATTATTTTTAAATGTATTTTACAATCCTACACTAATGTGTTAATTTGAGAAAATTATAGCTTGATTTCCAGCTGTGAAGTTATTTTTAAACTCATAGGAATAAGGCAATAATTTATCCAGATACCATATAACATATATAAAAGCAAAATATTTACCTTCAGAGGCCTGCACACACCCTCAGTAATATGCCCAACAACTTCCTGAATATTTTCTTCAACACCTACAATTAATTATAGCATAACTAAAATGTTTTTTCCATATTACGCGTAAGTTCAAAACACGAACAATAATGTATATGATTAATGACACTAATAACAAACATTTAAAATAACATAACAATATTTTATTAAGTTGAATGTCTTTTAGGACATTATTAATTATGTTAATATTTGGGTCTAGAACCTGGTTAATTTATTTCACTGCTGATTAATAAAATGAACAACTTCTTTGTGAAAAAGAATAAATGTATGAGTCACAGGAAAAAAATGACTGGGAAACATATTAAGTGATATGAAGATGTATTAGCATCTGCTCTACAAACGCCTTATTCTGGGCAGGGGTGCTGAGCACAGAAGCTGAGATGTAAAAATGGAAAGCACACCTTGTAACCTAAGGGAAAAACTGACATTTACTAAATATTGACTATTTGCCAAGCTCCTGGGTACTTGACATTTACTGCTTGTGACTGACTTTTTTTTTTCAGATGGAGAAACTGAGGCTTAGAAGAATTAAGTCATTCTCAAAGAATAACCTATTTCATCCAACTCCGATCTATTTTCTTCCAACCTCTTCACACTGCCTCTCAGATACACTTTACCAAAACATTTTTTTAAGAAATACATTATTTTAAACTAGGTAATTAGGATAACAGAAACCCACTTTAAAAAGTGCAGACCTTGTGCCAATCCAGCATACCCACTGAGTCTAATTTGAATTTCAAAGAGCGAGAAAAACAAGACAGTAAGTACCCTCCCAGATTTGCACACTAGCCTCTCCTGCAGATCAGGATCTGAGCCAGAGCGACAAAGTCACAATATTCCTCTTCACTTCTTATGAAAAACAGAGTACCTTAATTTTCCATTTATCCCTCAAACTCTAACAACAGGCATCTTAAGGTAATCGCCATTAAGAAGACGTGAAATTCTGTAACAACCACACATCAGCAGTTTCTTCCTTGAAATCAAGACCAAAATTTTAAGTACATAAAGTACTACATGGGTAATTATTCAAAAAACTACAACAGTCACATGAGAATGAATAAAGGGGCTGGGTGGTAGAAAGAAATGAGAGACTTAGTGGCTTAACGACCTTAAACAAGACACTTGGTCACACATATAAAAGGAGGATATACCACCTCTCACTTTAAAGTGTGGTGTGGACATCTGAGACCATGTGTGTTACACACACCAGAAGGGTCTTAAAAGTCAGGCAGAGGAGTCTAGGCCTGATAGGGAAGGTCACAGGGACCAGTGCACAAGTGTGCACAGCTGTGTGACAGGAAGGTGATGGAGGACAGAAGTCTTTTAGCAGGAGAGGGGAGAAACCAGAGGAAAACTAATCAGGGCGCTTACTGTGCCACTGAGGGGTGAAGAGCTTATCTCTGTGAAGATGACAGATTTCGAGAAGTCTTGTGTTATTGTCTCTATTTAGATGTCAGCAATTAACAACTGGAGGACCCACCTTGTAGAGTTACATGCTTTAAGAGAGCTTCAAGGTGTTCTTTTTCAGAAGCGGTCGCCTGATGGAGCCAAGCCAACATATCTCCCACGTATCTAATGCAGAAACTAAACGTTAGTAAAGATTTCCTTCAGAAAAGCCTCAAAAATCCCAACACTGTCTGATTACGATACCTCAAGGGGTCATGGGAGTGCATTTCAATGGGCCTTGGCGTGCCTCCCGGGCCCCCTCTCGTAAGAGCATCAATAAATCCACGAACAACGGTACTTCTCCTGGCTGTTCCAAATTCATCCAAGGTATACCTGGGAGAAACAAGTTATTGGAGAACCAGAGGTGTTTCTTTCTGATGGTTACATCGAACTATCCATGCAGTTTCTGAGATAAGCAGCTTGTCTCAGCTTCTTTACACAACGCTCTCAAGCAATAAATACTGTTGTGCACAATTACCTTGCGATCACTTTCTATCTTTTTATTTATTTATTTATTTTTAAATTTTTTTTTTCAACGTTTATTAATTTTTGGGACAGAGAGAGACAGAGCGTGAACAGGGGAGGGGCAGAGAGAGAGAGGGAGACACAGAATCGGAAACAGGCTCCAGGCTCTGAGCCATCAGCCCAGAGCCCGACGCGGGGCTCGAAGCCACGGACCACGAGATCGTGACCTGGCTGAAGTCGGACGCTCAACCGACTACGCCACCCAGGCGCCCCATTTCTATCTTTTTAAAACAAATTAGAATCAAAATGCTTTGATTTTTCTCCCCTCATGCTCTTAGATTATAAATATGGTTAGTGTAAAGAATGCATTCCTTTAAATGATCACGAATTCTATGAAATGACTTCTGATTAAATGACTACTTACAGCACAAAATTCACAAACTTTTAACTTCTCAAATACGTAAAACTAATCCTCATCCTCAGGACCCAATCTGTCCCAATAAACAGAAGCAATGTAACTTCTGTTTCTAGGGCTATTCACTCTGACCACAAGTTATATTAGAAACCAGTGAATTCACTGGCAATTTAAATAGGGGTGAGGGGACTTATCAAGCCTGACAAACACTAGACTCTGATCCGTATAATTATATGAAATATACATACACATTAATATTAATGTTAATCTCCCTTTAATAATAGACATAACTTGAAACAAAACCAGCATAAGTTACAATGAACCTTCAATGACATCTATATATGTGAAACACCTTTTCCCCGAGAGAGAGGAACATTTCTTTGACTTAAAAGAGATTATTTCCCAACAAAGGTCAAAAATTCAAAATGGAAAAAAAAAGTATTCAAAATGAAACTTTATAAAGGTGAATGTTAGAATTATTTAAATATCCTAAAATGCCTCTGGTTAAAATTAAAAGTTAAAATCCCCATTTTTTTAGCTAGGGCTATAGCAAAAAAAAGAAAAATTCCGGTCAAAAAGTAAATTAAAAGATGAAAGATCTGGGTCCAAAACAAATTAAAAGAATAGTGTAAAAGCCTCTAATAAATGGATCAAATACATAAAGAATGACTAAAAGTCAGCAAATTACTACATTCCTTAACACCTTATATTCTGAAGGTTTACCAAAGGAAGGAAGACATCAATTTATTCATTTCTACTTATAGTAAATTTCTTTATGAAAAAATGGCTGTACTTGATTTATTAAAAGCTAATAATGCATTGGCATTCCGGTTACAAGCTACCTAATAAAAGCTGGGTATGGCAACGCTTCCCAAGGACTTCAACAATTACCATTTTTCTGGCGCATGATACCTACACATTTGAGACACGCTCAAGACACCAAAGCTTTTACTCATTACTTAAATAAAGTACATACGCAGTGCCATCTGGTGGTTAACACGAGACATTGTTAATTTTTTCCTAAATTTAAAGAAACCACCACTTTGAAAATAAATGATAACTTAATGAAAGGCCAACTTTCTCTTTTAGCATTCATCTTACAGGAATCAACTGGTCTTTAAAACTTCCTTCTTCCTAAGTTAACTTCCAAATGCCTCTTACCATGTTCCAAACTGCACTATTGCCCCCCTATTCCCTGGCTTGTGCCTCTTTAAGATAAATCGTGTCTATTATAGTTCTGTTCTTTGCCTTTAAAGCTTTTTCCTGGCTGTAACAATGGATTCTAAATATACCCTTCTGTATTTGACAGCTTTCCAGTTTATCTCCTTTCAAAATAAAAATAATAGCCAAAATTCTGTGATGAGCAAAGCATTATTCTAAGCACCTTATGTGAACAATCTAACTTAAATCTTCACAAAAACCCTGTAAGATAGGCACTATTTTTATCTTTACTTAAGGAAATTGAGGTTTACAAAGGTACAGACGCTTGTCAAAAAATCTAACTCGGAGCTCGCCTTCTAAACTATTATACAATGCTGCTCGTTTCCAAGTGTTTATCAAGAATCAAAATTTAGGGACGCCTTGGTGGCTCAGTCGGTTCAATGTCCGACTCTTGATTTCAGCTCAGGTCGTAATCTCATGGTTGGAAGATCAAGCCCTGCATCAGGCTCCACACTGTCAGCATGGAGCCTGCTTAGGATTCTCTCTCCCTCTTTCTCTGCCCTTTCCTACTCGCTCCCTCTTTCTCTCTCAACATAAGAATAAACATTGAAACAAAAAAAAAGAATCAAAACTTACTAAATATATATTTACGTGATAGAAGCCAGCTGACCAAAACACACAAAAAAATTTTTTTAAACAGAGATTAATCTTGTGAACAAATATGAATCTGTGGACAATGTCACATTTTATTAAAATCAAATACCAAATATTTTCAGTACTAAAAGACTCTCCTAATCAAACACCAATATCTTAAAGTGCCAAGGCTGGGAAAGAAATTTCAAGGTACATCTATAACCTGCTAAGCTGATGATCAGTAGTGAACATTAATTAATCATATGTCCATGCACAACATTCAGGGCTATTACAGTACAGCTCTTGCTACCAACCCAGTAACCAGTGCAAGATTTTGCAATCAATTTCCCAAAAATCCATGTTCTTTCTCAATCTACATCTTTGCATCTGCTGTTCCCTCAACCTAGGATGTTTCCAATTCCCTTTTCTTCCTGGAAAATGCCTACTTAACCTTCAGAACTCACTTTAAACCTATTTCCCAGAAGAAACTTTCCCTAACGTTCATCCCTTTCCCCTACCACAGAACACGGACACATGAACTCTAAAGTAGCAATTAATCTAGTCATTAAAATGGTGTGTTTATATATGGTCCCATAAAATGAGGCAATCTGAGGGTAGAGGTTTATTGATGCTGTGTCTCTAGTGCTTAGAACTGTGCTTAACATATAGTAAGTACTCAGTAAGTAGTACTGGAATGTTATTATTTCATGCAGCTGTCCCAGCACTTGTGTTCTGGAAACTTATTGTAGGCTAAGCAACGTTCCAATCAGAAAGCACAGTAATGGGGAAATCCTCTAAAACTATTACAAGCCTCTGAAAGGCATGACTCAGAGCAAGACTGAATGTCTCTGTACACGTTCCCTGGTTTTGTTTCCTGCATAACTCCCCACTTGGTGTCCCTATTTTCATATTATTGCAGAAATTAAAAATAAAAAAAACATTTACTTCTGTTTTATATGAAAGATAAAAGAGTAAAATTAAAATACAGAGTAATAAAAAATATGTCAATAATTAATAATGCCTAGGGTTCTTACCCAAAGCCTCATCATAGATCTCTTAGCTGGCATAACTTACAGAATGAAAGACGTGAACTCTTTCTTTTCTTGAATCCTATTAATGGAATCTTGATTTTCAATGTTCTTTTTTCATTTGGGGGAAGTTATATTTCTGACCCCCTTCTCTCCAGGGCCAGGTTGACAGAGGAGTTTTAGCTTCATACAATTCTAAGGTAGTCAGTGAGATGACAGGATGGGGAAAGCCCTTACCTCTACATACATAAGGGGCAGTCTAGACGTAGGGACACCTTGCTTTTCCCCTCCAAACTGCATTCTATAATACACAATACACAAATGAGCTGATGCCCCAACAACACACATATCAGGTAAAAGCATCACTTTAAATAAATTATTTAATTACTGAAACTAAACTATCGTATATCAATTTGATAATACTGAAAGCTAGCATAAATCGTCCAAGAAAAAGTGGATTTATTTTTTTTAATTAGGAAAAAGTCACCAACTTGTATAAGACAGGTCTATCCTGCAGGGCTTCCATTGCCTGAGTTAATACTGGAGATATGTCACATGATTCCTGCGTCAATGTTCTGCATTCACCTGGAAAACAGTTACCGTGTGATTACAGCACCTGTTAAATTAAAATCTGGTCTTTATTATATCCATTGTATACCCACAGTCTACATTCTGTAGCAGATATTACATTTAAAAAATGCTTGGAAAAACTTAGAGAATATGCCAATCAAAAACTATTTTATGATGGGACACCGGAGCAGCTCAGTGGTTACACATCCGACTCTTCGTTTCAGCTCAGGTCATGATCTCATGGTTCGTGAGATCGAGCCCTGCGTCTGGCTCTGCTCTGACAGAGTGGAGCCTGCTTAGGATTCTCTTTCTCCTTCTCCCTCTCTCTGCTCCTCCCTCACTCGCTTACGCTCTCTTTTTCTCTCTCAAAATAAATAAACTCTAGAAAAGTAAATAAATAGGGGCACCTGGGTGGCTCAGTCAGTTAAGCGTCCAACTTCGGCTCAGGTCATGATCCTGCGGTTCGTTGAGTTCTAGCCCCGCATGGGGCTCTGTGCTGACAGCTCAGAGCCTGGAGCCTGCTTCGGATTGTGTCTCTCTCTCTCTCTCTGCCCCGCCTGCACTCACATCTGTCTTCCTCTCTCTCAAAAATAAACATTAAAAACATAATAATAAATAAATAAACAAAAAATACAGACAGAGGAAGAGGCCACAAACCAAAGACTGTAGGCAGCCTCTAGAACTGGGAAAAGGCCTCAGTCACAGCCAGCAAGGAAACATACCTCAGTTGGTCCTACAGACTCAAGTTACTAAATTATGCCCACAAACTGAATGAGCACAGACACTGAACCTTCCCAGAACCTCCAGAAATGACTGCAGCTGTGCTAAGCACTTTTAGTGTGGTGAGAAAGATGTCTGGTTTCTGACCTGCAGAACTATAGGGTAATAATTTGTGTTGTTTTAAGCCATTAAGTTTGTGATGATTTGTTACAGCAACAATAGAATAGCAATTAACCACGTATAAAACAATTACTTAATGACTTTAGAAGTAATGACCTTTTTTTTTATTACCATCCTTAATCATACATAGAGCTTGAATGATGGCAAATACTCATGATACAAACACAAACACAATATGTTCAAAAGTAAAACTCATTTTTCTTTCTCTTTTTTTTAAGTTTCTTTATTTTTGAAAGAGACAGAGAGAAAGAAAGAGAATCCCAAGCAGGCTTTGAGTGCAGCGTGATATGAAGCTTGAACTCTGAACTGTGAGATCATGACCTGAGCTGAAATCAAGAGTCAGACACTTAACCACTGAGCCACACAGGCACCCCCACGTTTTTCTTTTTAAAAATACTTTCTGATTACTAAGACCCAAATATGATCTCAAAGGTCAGATGAAATAACTAAAGTGAAAACTAATATTTATAAATCTAGACCACATGAAAGAAATCACTTACTTTGAGCCCATCGATAAAGTCTTTCATAAGCTGTTTCTTGAAGCAAGGCCATCTGTTCCATAATTTCTAAACTAAGAAAATTAAAGATTTATTTTAATTTAAAGTTTTAAACAATAGTTACATCTAAAAACTTAATTATTTTGCTTAATTACAGCACATTTTGGTTAAAGCATATAACTTTTTATCATTTTATGGATTTTTTGGTAACTTTTTTATAATTAAATAAATGTTGTCAAATTTTAATAGCATCACTTAGGTATCCAAGTACTGTTTTATTCTAAATGTATCAGGGTATAACTCCCTCCTTATCCAAAGATACATAGAAATTAAATTCCTATTTCATAATATGTCATATAATTTCAGAAAGAACCTAGAACGTCTTTAAAATCTGCGAGATGTAAGAGGAAATGCAATTATGAAGTGAAAAGTTCACTCACCCTGCTGTTTGTTGGTTTGTACGTAAGAGAACTTTAACATCGTTATGAATCTGTTTTACTCTTCCCAGTGCCTTGAAAAAATCCTTTAAAATTAAAAACGCAACTTTAAAATGTCCAGGTTTTCTGGTGAAATTACATTACTCTAAATTGAAATGTCACTACAAGGGAAAAACGAATTCTTTCACTTACTCTGATGAAGTGCTCCTATACCGACCACAATTTTCTCTAAATTTTTATCGGAAGTGCAACAGATACTTACATTTAAAACATATGTCAATTCAATGTCGACTACGTGCCAAATAGTATGTTAGTTGCCAGGAACACAAAATTTATAAAGACAACAACTGCTGTCCCTCAAGAAATGCATAGTCTAGTAATAGAGAAGGCACCCCTGAAGATTACTACATAAAGGAAAACATGCTACATATGACATACCTTATGACTTAATAAGTAAGCATAGCTTTGTTATCACTGAAGATGATGTTTTACATTAGCTTTTATATACCTGTTCTTGCCCCCTAATCCAAGAGCAGAATGTAAAGCTGGATACGTAAAAGCTGCTCATAGATAATAGAGGAGCTGACTGATGCGGAACTCCAAGATTTTTTTGCCTTTTAGAAAGAGGCATTGAAGCCTTCGTTTCCATACAGTCATGGTGTTCCAATCACGAAAATAATGAATAAGTTATTTTTCTTTGATGAATGAAATTTAAAAAAAAATCTCCTCCAATACTGTTGACAATCTCTGCTAAGTGGAGAAAAGGTCAGATGCCAAATATTTCATATGTGCAAAGTTCCACAATCTACAAGGGCAATAAACACCAATAAGGAAAGTACAAACCCATTCTCGACCTACTTAACTCCTTACTCCTAGATGACTGGGTCCACTCTAGCCTGGCAGTAAGAAGCGGTGACATCTCTGGAGAGCAGCCCAGTACATCGCACCCACCCTTTGAGAACTCTTCCTGCCCTCAGACCCTAGAGGGATGACAAGTGTCTTAGGTGTATAGCTCCTCCCAGTTAGGAAACTGAAAGATTCCTTTCTGGAGACCGTGAATGTCTTCAGGAAAAAACAAAGAAACAAAAGTCTACCCAGTTAATTGGCACTTTGAGAGGTTTTAGAGTTGTGTGTCAGTTTGGAAAGAAGGGCATCGATTCAGAAGCTAATTTGGTGAAAAGATAAGGAATTTCAAATTCCAGGAAAGACAAAAAGTTATAAAAGGAAGAAACGTGTAATCACTTTAATGCTACTGTAATGAAAAGAGAAAATGTCATAAAACTGTACTGTGAGGTAGGAAGGAAAGAGAACATGTATGTGTGCAGGAGAAGGCAGGGTTAAGAGGCTAAAATCTCATATTTCATGACTGGAAACCAACAGAAAATAGGAAACATAGATAACCAAACCTTTTTTTTTTTTTTTTTAAATCTACGGATCCAGGATACAGAATTTAGAAAAGAAGCAATTAATAAGGTTGAAAATGGTTGACAATGGACAATGGTTGACAGGAAGGAGTGGAAAAGGTGATGAAGATTTTTTTAAAAAATTGACACTCTTCAATTTCTCAAATAAAAAATTATACATATTGCTTTGAAAAAAATACACACACATACAAAAAAAACAAATTAAGATAATTTAAAATATGTATCTTAGTTTCTAAACTTAAAAAAATATTTTAAATAAAACTTTTGTGATGGGAAAATAAAGCCTTAAAACGAGTGACTTATCTATAAATCATTACCTGCTATGCTTTAAATGATTATAAGAGAGCAACATACCTCGGTTATAGGTCCTTCTCTGGTACCTCGGAGGAGACCCATCTCATCAGAAGTCAGCTGGAACTTGGATAAGAAAGCATCTGCGACTTGTGCTCGTATTTCTAGTCTTTGACTATAATAATAATAAAAAACATCCAAGCAATAAAAAAAAAAAAAAATCAAGCATGCTATGAATTTGCGTAGCTTTAAAACAAGCTACATCTCTGACATAATAACTTCTTAAAACCCATGTGAAAGAGTCTCAGTATCTTTGAAAGCCTCATTTCTGCCTCAAACATTAGATGCTCGTCCAGCGGGCAGGTGACAAAATTACCTGATATTGTTCTACCTCAGATACCTACACACAGTAAAAGGAGTTAACCATCATGCAAAAGAAGAAATAAGTTTACAAATGGTCCCTGCATAACAAATTCTCAGCCACTTACGTGTACTTGAATTGTTCATCTGGTAGTAACAACATTGTCTTACAGGAGAGAAATATGCCCGTTTTCAACTAATTTCTTCTCAATCACTAAAAAATCCTAAGCCTCTGAAGTTTTCACATGAAGTGCACAGCAACCAAAAGTCAGGTTTTTTATTTTTTAACTTTCGATTAGAAACAGAAGAACTCATTTACCAATTCCTCATAAATCCATAGAGCACTCCACTTTTGCCTTCACACTTTTTCTGCATACTATGGTAATACAAGAGTCTTCAGTTACATGATGTGAATGCAACCTATGTAGACCAGGTTGACAATTAAGGAAAGGCACACTCTTATTTGGAATGTGACCTGAAGGCCCGGGCTGCATCCCCGTCTAAAGGCCAAGTCCTGAGCAGAAATTCACCATTCCTGGCTTTTCCATCTTAGATTTAAAGATATACAAATAAAATTGGGTTTCACCAGCAGTATTCACAAGGCAGTAATATTCCACAACTTAATAATACTCAAATGAGAGTGGACAAAATAAACATCAACATTCTATGTGCAGACAGTACAATGCATCTGCCATATTTGTTTTGTTGGTACGCTTGGGGTTCTAAAGTCAAAGTCAAATGCTCTGAAATAATATAGCAAGTTAGAAAGGAAAAGTCCTCTAGGTGGCAGTAACATTCTGATGATCTCAAATGATAATGTAAATAGTGTAATTAAATCTACACAGATGAATGGCATACGCCCTTAATCATCTTATGGATATCAAAAAGTTACTTTATCGGGTTTTGTTTTATAGTGTTAAAGCTCCAATCGTTACCACACAGGATTTAAAATAATTATAAGAATTCATAAAATTCCTCGAGATTATTTAGATTAATCATTTTTACTGAAACCTTTCCAGAGTTTCCTTCAGATCTATCTCTAGAGTCAATTTACTGGGCACAAAGGAAACAAATTTCTTTAGTTTATAACTTACTTTTGCTTTAACCAAATCTAGTATTACCTATCTTGATCATACTTCTTAATCATTAAATTTCATTCCAGATAGTAGTTTTGACTAGTATGTATGTACACACACACACACACACACACACACACACACACAGACATAAAAGCCATGAAATAAAAAGACTTTAAGCCAGAGGCTCTATCTCTACAAAAGATTTGGTCCAAAAATATGTTTAATGGTCATATTGCTAAAACAAGGGTTTGGTATCTCAAGATGACAACTTTTAAAGTAATGATGAAATACACTGTAATATATTTTTAAAATCATATTACTCTTTGCTTTCACCCTATATATTCTTCCCAGGTAAAACTGCACAAACTTTCTGATAGAAAGTTACTCTCATATAGTCCAATCACTTGGTTTGGGAGTATGTGTGCAATCTAAGAACACTAACAGGGACCTACAATATATAAAAGCCCTAAGCCAGGGTCTGGTGTGACAAAAGATACATATCAGACCTTGCCTTCATCTTACATCACAACTGAAATATGGTATGTTCGGGAGAGTTTTTAATATCTAAATAAAATCATTTGAAATAAATGTTAATACAAAACATATAAATGGCTATTATAAATTACAGCCTCTTTGGGATGTGTTCATGTAATCACTGTAATCACTTGGAGATGTATTATATGTTATATAATACATAAATAAACACAGCAAATACATACTGTGAAATAATGTGCAGCAGATAAAAAATATGAGATAGATCTGGACCTATTAACACAAAATGACCTATAAAGCATTTCTCAGGTACAAAAAGCAAGCCACAAAAACTATGTTGAACAACATCGAGTTTTTAAAAAATATATATACACACCCATAAATGAATTTTCAGGACATGTATTCACAAATTACTTAAATATTTAAAATAAACAGACTAATTAATCCTAACAATGATTCCTTCAAGCATTCTCAGAACATGATTTATGAATCTTATGGTGCCTTCTTTTTCTTTTCCTGAAAATCTGCCTCTGCCATATTTTAACTCTACCTTCTAGATTCACTTTCACCAAATAATTTCAAAATAATAAGAAAAAGATTTTAAAAATGGGCAAAAGATACAAAAGAAAAAAAGGATTAAGAAATATAAATGGCAAGACAAAATGAAAAAAAAAGCTGACTCACCCACCAACAACATTCAATAAAATATAAATTAGGAGTATGATGCTACTGTTCATCTATGAAATTGCCAAAGTTTTTCATGACAATACCTACTACTGGCAAAGGTTTAATAAAAGAGACATTCTCATTTATTGCCGACAAATATGTAAATTGGTATAACCCTTTTGGAGAGCAATTTAGGCAATATACATTATTTCCTTAGTACATCCTAAGGAAATAATCTGAACTGCACATAATGATTTAAAAACACATGCCAAACCATTATTTTTAGTATTGGAAACAATACTAATATTCAGTGATATAGGAATGTTTAACATACATGTTGGTTCATTCACAAGATGAAATATAATTTCACCATTAAAAAGTATTGTTTTTCTAAGTAAAAGACATAGAAAAATGAACATAAATTTGTTTTCAAGTTTATATATTTATTTTTGAGAGAGAGAGGAGAGAGAGAACGCACACACACAAGCAGGGGCAGACAGAGGGAGAGAGAGAGAATCCTAAGCAGGCTCCAAGCTGTCAGTGCAGAGCCCAGGGAGCTTGAACTCACGAACAGTGAGATCATGACCTGAGCTGAAACCAAGAGTTGGATGCTTAACCAACTGAGCCACCCAGGCACCCCAAAAGTGAACATAAAATATAAGTGAACAAAGTAAAACAGAACTACACACATATGATCACACTGGGAGGAAATATGCCAAAACGTTAACAGTGGTTATGCCTGTGTAGTAAAGTTGTAGCTGATTTTAGTTTTTTTTTTCCTCTGAATTTTATACATACAAATGAGAATAAGAAAGAAGAAAAGAGGTCTCTAAGCTTTCCTTCCCGAACAAATATGTTTCTGTAATATATTTTTATATGTATGTTTATGCAAAATAAAGTATTGTATTTTTGTTACAAACTGCAAAACCAGAATTAAAGTAGTTTATAACAAATAGCACAATTAAAATACAATTAAAACTATTAAAAGATAAAATAGTAAGAAATAGTAAGGAAGGATGAGAAAGTAAATAACATAGCTGAGGAAAACTATAACCTAAGCTTCCTAGCCCTCAAAGCCAATGTAGACACAAGATGTGCTGATAGCTTTGTCTAATAAAAGCTCTGGAAGAGGAGAGAAGGATAGTGTCCTTTGACGGATTACCAGGCAATGTGTTCAGCTCCTGTGTAAATCACCTAATCAGCTATTCCCTTTTTTCAGATGTGAAAACTGAGGCTGAAGTTAAGAAGTAACTTGCTCAAAATTAAAAATCTAACGAACTCTTACCCAAAATTTAGATTAGAATTCAGGTTTTTGTCTTCAAAGCCTACATTCTTTCCACTTTAACATACTATACCTCAAAAAGAAATATAAACGTCCACCAGAGATTGTTTCTCTGATTCTAGAAAGAAATTTGGCTGGTGGGCCTTCACAAGAGATAAAAAAAATATATGGGGCGCCTGGGTGGCTCAGCTGGTTAAGCATCCAACTTCGGCTCAGGTCATAATCTCAAGGTTCCAGGGTTTGAGCCCTGCGTCCCACTCCACACTATGCAATACTTGCTTGGGAATCTCTTTCTCCCTCTCTCTACCCCTCCCCCACTCGTGCTCCCTGACCTCTCTCTCAAAATCAATAAATAAACCTAAAAACTTAAAAAATATATATGTATATATATAAAGTAGTGACTTCAATAGCATTAAAAAATATGGAAGTAGGGGCACCTGGGTGGCTCAGTCAGTTAAGCGTCAGACTCTGGATTTTGGCTCAGGTCATCTCACAGTTCATGAGATCAAGCCCCATGTCAGGCTTCATGCTGACAGTGCAGAACCTGCTTGGGATTCTCTCTCTCCCTCTCTCTGTCTCTCTCAAAATAAATAAATAAACTTTAAAAAAATATGGAAGTATATTTATGTGGATATCACTTCCTGATTATCAATGAAACCCATCTTCTATCAACTAAATATTACAAAGAAATATTAACCGCAGTGCCGTGAAGACAATTCTACATCAAACTTTACCTATTAGAGCGTCAGCTATCACAACGACTGAACTTCTAACGTAGTTGGAAAAATATTCATATCATTTATGCATCTGTCTTAATAAGAATGGTATGTTATCCAAATAAGCCCACAGAATTTCTATTTTCAAAGTTAATTGCTTATTTGACAAAGTTTCTTGCTAAAAAGATAAGGTAATACTTAAAAATGGAAAAACAACTCTCGGCTTCCAGGAATCTGTTATAATTTCTGCTGTGTAATTTTCCTACAATACTTTCCACAAATGTTCACTTGGCACATCATATCCCTAGCTCTTGGGATACTGGAATGTCAGAAATTTTCACTCCCAAAAGCATACCCAGCCGAAACACTTTCATCGGCTTATTAAAATAATAAACATGAACAACGTTGCTTAGTTTTGAGAATATACAGATAGAAACACAATGTTCTAATGTTGCCTCCTATAAACATTAATCAGGGTCCCAAATATGTTACAAGCTCCAATACAATGCTCCGTTTTCAGTTTTTATTTTATGTTCCTTTCTTGGCGTCAGATTAGCTGTATTCCAAATTCATTTATTCAGAAATTATTTATTGAATCTACAATGCATTAGGCACTGGAGATACAAAGAGAGTTAAGAAACTGTCAATGTTCTCAAGGAGCTCACAGTTTAGTAAGAAGAGAGACAGTCAAACCAACAACTGATTACAAAAGACTGTAACACACAATAAAATACATGAATCCATATTCTACTCACTTTCATTCACCCATTTATTCAGTCAACAAATATTAGCATACCTATTTGTAAACTACCACAAGAAGAACTTATGCGGTTAACTCTTAATTATATTAGAGAGGACAGACCATAGCTAAAAATAAGAGACAATGAATGTGAAAAAATAAAAATAAGACTACCAAAAATCTAAAATCATCTACATTTTAAAAAGCAATCTTTTTTTTAAATCCGTACCAAACAATAAACAACACATTGTCATCTCCAAAGAATGAATAATCCTTCAACCCCAATCAAGTTTGATACTCCTAAAATACTGTTTTGTTTATTTTCCTCTTGGATAATAGCTTAGAACCTTACATGCTGTATGAATTTTGAATCATATTTTTTATTATTTTAACTTTGATTTGGAGTTACCTATAATTTTCTTTCCACTTAATCTCCAAATTAATGAAGAAGAAACTATACAAAGAAAAACTTACCTTTCAGCTTGAAGCTTAGTGGTTTTTACTATCAAATCTTGAGTCTGTTCTTTTGCCGCCTAAAATTATAAACATATCCAACATGAGCACATTTCAATTTTTTTATATTTCAGAAAACTAATAGTACCACTTACTAAAGCTCAAACTTAGCAGCATGTGAGATCAAACTCCAGAGCTCAAAAGTTTTAAAAAGGCCAAATAACTGAACTAGATGTTGCCAGGCTCATATACTACCTTCACTAAGAGAAGCTCAGAGTTCTCAACAGACACAACGCCAAGGCTTACAAGAAAGAAAATGGTGTGAGGACGCTAAGGCATTTAACAATTCATGATGTTTTTAGTGAAACAGAACTACTGGAAAAGCAGGGTCGGAATAAAAATCATGACTTCCGTTATGAATATGTGACTTGAGATACCATGAGACCTCTAAATAGAGTTGTAAGTTAAGTCACTGAAACGCTGGTGTGGAACTGAACAGAAATGCCCAAGATGGAGATAAACATTTGAGAGGTGGAATACACGAACTACCCCTCATATAGGGTTTTGGGGAAGATCAGAGATAGCCCTATCTAAAGGACACAGGGCTGTTACCGACAAATTTTGTATTAAGCAACCCTTCCTTCCCCAAGCCAGAGTCGAAAGGATCAGGAATGAAAACTTGATGAAAAGCTATTCTATCCTAAGATTAGGCAATTATTTTACAGTAGACTGAAACAAAAGAAAATGTAGCTAATCAGATTCTCAAAGACCTAAACATAAAGGTGTTTAGCAAAGAGAGGAGAAACAAGTGGGTGTATGCAGCTGGAGACATGGGGTCCATGCTCTTGAGGGACATGGAGTGGGCTACAATTATGTATAAATAAAGCCACTAGTAAGTGGAAATTACAGTTGACCTTGAACACCACATGTTTGAACTGTGTGTGTCCACTTACACAAGGAATTTTTAAAACTAATACACTATAGGGGCGCCTGGGTGGCTCAACCGGTTAAGCGTCCAACTCCGGCTCAGGTCATGATCTCACGGTTTGTGGTTCGAGCCCCGTGTCGGGCTCTGTGCTGACAGCTCGGAGCCTGGAGCGTGCTTCTGATTCTGTGTCTCCCTCTCTCTCTCTGCCCCTCCCCTGCTTATGCTGTCTCTCTCTGTCTCTCAAAAATAAGTAAAGGAAAAAAAATTGTTTTTAAATAATAAAAAATAAATGTAAAAAAAATTTTTTTTAATAATACATTACAGTTCTGTAAATCTATTTTCTCTTCCTTATGATTTTATTAATAGCATTTTCTTCTCTAGATTACTTTATTGTAAGAATACAGTATATAATATATATATATAACATACAAAATGTGTTTTGACTGTGTATGTTAACAGCTTCTGGTCAACAGTAGGCTATTAATGGTTAAGTTTTGGGGAGTCAAAAATTAGGCTTGGATTTCTGTGTGCACGGGGGTCAACTCCCCTGACCTCTTCATTGTTCAAAGGTCGACTGTATAAAGCAGACAAACACATATTATAGAAGGTCAGTCTCTTAAAGATAGGATACCAGAGCAAATATGGGAAGATACGGGGTCATTTCCATGCTGGAACACGATCATAAAGAGCAAGCTTCTGCTGCTAAGTTTCTAGAGCTGCATTAGATCTACACAGGAAACCCCAGCCCCCTGCAAGTTCTGGGTTCTTAGAGGCCTAAGCCTTCTACAATCTTTCAGACTGTCAGCAACGTTTCTGCCTTATTGCTTCATACAGGTATCCCGTCAACAAGAGCCCCAGCCCCACCTCCATCTGAGTCCGTGCTCCTTGCAACCAAATCGCATGCCTAGCAAACAGTAGGTATTTGTTAGGAAAATAGATTTGAACCTAGATAATTCAGCACATCAATAACTTTTGAGGAATGGAGTCGAACACAATGACTTCCATGGTACTATTCTAAAATTATTACTCTTTAAATCTACTAATTTCTTCCAATTCTTCCTCATCTTTCCTAATCCCATTTTACTTTCAGGATCCACTGCCACCTTACTCCTGCTTAATACAATTTTTAAGAATATTTAAAATATTAAAAAAATTCTAAAATATATTTACATTTTAATATTTGTGGAAAAGGAATGCCACACAAAATCAGTATCAAAAAGTGCTTCCTAGCTTCTTTTTTTAGCTGCAGTAATTATTAAATTGAAGGTATATCTTACAAAAAACACCACCTGTTAATCACTGACATAAGATACTTGATTACAATGTGATGCAGTAAGAATTATGCATATTTCTTGACTCTTCATTTACAAATTGTGGTAACAATCCCAAACTAATGTTTAATAATACCAGTGAAGATCATTATCGTAAAACAATTTCCAATTTATCTTAAATGTTGAGGATGATTATTTCTCATTAAATAATAAACATATGCCTCTAAATGTAATTTATCCAAGCAAATCCACAAAGGGAAAAGCCACAGCATATAAAAAATTACTGGTTATATTTTTTCAGTATCTTGTAATAATAATTTCTAAAATGTCCCCAATCCAAAGTTACTATTTAAAATATGAGCTAATTTAATTAGTCCTGTGTATAACATCCTAAAATGAAAAAGTAATACTTTCCTCTATGGATAAACTGAAAACCTTATTCTAGAGTTGACAGTCTGAGCGGGTACCATTAAGATTCCAAAAACATATGCAAATAAATCAGTGCCAATGGCTGAAAACTTCCAAAGTCACCGATCTAATCCCTGCTAATACAAGAATCAAAATCAAATGTAAACAACAAGTAGTAGTACAAAATATTTTTAAACATGCAATTTAAAAAGTGACGAAAATGTTGCACCATGATTATGGTAGCTGTTTCATAGGTATATAATTGTCAAACACATCGATTTGTACACATCAGATGAATGCAGTTTATTACTGCACATAAATTCTTCCTCAGTAAAACTGATATAAAAAAGGAAAGAAAGGAAGAAGGGCCCATGCCATTATAGGGGGAAAAAATAGGGTTGGTGGATGTAAAGAAAATATCGAGGACAAAATGAAGAGGATACTCTGTGATTTAAAATACTTCTAATCTGTTTTGAAAACAGCACGAAGGATAAAAATACTTTGATCTTTTCCATCTACAAATAGGTATAATAAAAAGAGTAAAAATATAATTGAGGATAAGAATTAGGCAATGAGATACAACCACTAAAAAGAGGAACTTGAGTAATCCTGTATAACACAAAATATAAAATTAGTATTACAAAACAAATCCGAGAGTATAGTATAGAAAATCTTATAGAGTGTAATTTGAGAAAAGGCATTAAATCAAGGAAGCTAGAAGATGAGAAAAGGAAATAAAGAGAAAGTGACAGAAACAGAATCGTCAAACAACAAAAGTAATACTAAGCGACAGAAGTAATACTGCAAAAAATGTGAAATGACAATAATTAACAAAGATTTTATGACTACTTAAGGGCTATATAATTAATAAAGATCTAAAGATTGAATAGATATGCCAATAATATTTGATATATTAGTAAGAGTACTGAAATTTAGATAAGGCTAGGAAAGCTAAAATTTTAGAGAAACAGGAAACTGGCTAGTTCTAGAGACAGATCATGTAAGTAGCTTATGATTAATTTGGGGAATATGCATAGATTAATGATGCTTCCTAGAATCAGCATCGCTCTCAACAGTTCTAGGAGAATCTTAAAGGTATAAGTTTGAAATATAAATGTGAAGGTGGTAAATACAATCATGACAGACTCTCATGGGGAAACCCTAGTCTATTCAGTATTCCAAAATCACATAAATGAGGGTAATGCAACCAAACTAGACGTTTCAAACTTTTTTTTTCCTTTTTTTTGAGACAGAGACAGAGCATGAGCAGGGGAGGGGCAGAGAGAGAGGGAGTCACAGAATCCAAAGTAGGCTCCAGGCTCTGAGCTGTCAGCTCAGAGCCCGATGCGGGGCTCAAACTCACGGACTGTGAGATCATGACCTGAGCTGAAGTCAGACGCCCAACCAACTGAGCCAACCAGGCACCCCTGAAACTGCTTTAATAAACAGACACAGAACCAGAGATATTTTCCTGAGGTTTTGTGTGTGTGTGTGTGTGTGTGTGTGTGTGTGTGTGTGTGTGTGTTTGGGGGGGTGGGGGGTGCTGAACATAAATCATAATTAAGCTGGGTCTTTGCTGAGCATAGCTTTAGTGTCGACTTACTCCTAAGACTTTCTACCAATGAACTCATTTCTGCTGGACTTACGGGATATTATAGGATTGAAAGGTTCATCAGTTAGCTCTACGCTGGCTAGATCAAAATATAAAGGCTTCAGGAGTTAACTGAACAGTAAACTATCATGCAAAAAACCCATTTATAGTTAAAAAAAATAAGCATAATATTTACACTCAAACTTCCTATTGGGCATGATATATTAGATATCCATATATTTGACAGACTTAGCTAACAATTTCTGAAAGCTTACTTTGAACCAGGAACTACGCTAAAATCCAGCCATTACACAGTACCTGTAGGCGACTTGTCATGTCTTGACAACAACTGCTCATTGCTTGAACATCTTCATTTATGCTTTCAAGTTCCTGAAAAGAAAAAAAGTAACAACAAGCACTACATATATTATTAAAGGAATTCTCTTAGCCGAATCCTTATTTTCATCTCACGAATTTTTTTTTTGGCAGAGCATGAAAAAAGATCCCATATTTAAGACTGGAAATAATTAAAATAATAACATCTAATGTTAGAACAGATATAAAGAAATTAGTATAAGCTTTTTAAAAGATGTAACAATAGGAAACAGCAAATAAAATATGACTACCTCATCATTCAGAATTTTAAAATTAAGATTTATCCTAAGGAATTAATCAGGTAAGTGTGCAACAATATATGTAAGATGATCAACAGAATTGCCTAAAACAAATGGAAAATGTGAAACATTTTCAAACACACAATGGAAATCTGCGCATTTATTAACAATAATTGTGTGTGTGTGTGTGTGTGTGTGTGTGTGTATTTTCATTGGCATGGAGGGATGTCTATATAAGGTAAAAAAAAAAATAAAAATACTATGAAACAACACATATAATATCCCCCATTTTTTTAAAAAAAGTACATATATGTATATAGAAAAACATAGGAAAACAAGGCAATAAAAAAATGACCAAGGTTATTTCTGGGTGATAGGGTCATAAACAATTGTTCTATTTCTGACCTTATCTAACTTTTCTATAATGGATTGTTTGTAACTTTTAATTAACAAAAACAAGCAAATATGAAAACCCAATAAACTAAAAATAGTGCCTCCTCTCTCTCGTCATCACATACTGGATCATGCCACAAACCTGGTAATTTTCTCAGTAACATTCTTTCCCTCTGTACTTCCATCTCTAGCCCCCTCCAGATACATGTGAATTTAACTGGCCACTAAGTCCTGTCATTTATATCCTTAATATATATGTATTCTCTGTTTCTTTTTTACTACTCTAAGAGCTACTACTTTGGTTCAGGTCTATTGGTACCCCTTGGGTGAACTGATCATTTTTTTTTTCAACAGGTCTCCAAGGCTCTATACTTTTTACCAAACCATTCTCTAGTCTTTATTGAGTCAATGAAAAATATGATTTGAAAAAATGGTATCACAAAACCACATTTAGCTTCATACTGCACTCCTATCTTCTTTTTCACAATTGGGTGTCACTTAAAAGGAAGAGATATACAAGGAAGTTTCAGCGGCAGACCACAGACAATCCCTTTCAGCACCATGCCCAGACCTTCAAATAGAAACATGACAGTTTTTATGAAGGGACAGGCCAGTCAGAGGGCAAGTAATAAGAAAGCAGCCAGGTGAGGCTGTAAACAAAGTGTGAGGATGAACCAGTTAGAAAATCACTTATCAGAATATGAGCATAAATCTAAGTTCTAGAAGTAAGATTTTTCTCCCTTCTCTCCATAAAGTGCTTTGAATGAAATAGAACTATCAGAGTACCCAATGTTTTTAAATGTTCCTACATTTCACTATAAATAGGATATAAATCAAATTATTAAATGAAGTCCTAAGCTACTTTGAGGTGAATAAGTAATAAAAAAATCAAATAAAAAACAAAAATTAAATAAAAATTAAAAAATAAAAAAAAGCATGATTTCAAAATATCAATTAATATCAGCAACAGCAGAGACCTAAGTAAACTCATCTCACCATTCCCTTAAATCTCACTGTGTAATCTCATACGAACAACACTGCCATTATCAGCCAGCTAGGTCAAGAACAACCGCACCTAATATTTACTTTAGCCACCATAATGTACCAAATGGATCTGATTTGTCAAATAATATAAATCACATCTCTGAATATGTGACCTAAATGCAGAGTTTTGATTACTAAATGCAGTCAACTTTTTCTCCCCCAGTTAAATAAAGTTACAGGCTGGGAAATACAATTGGTGTATGATAAGCTTTTAAAAAACTTTTTATTATGGAAAATTTTCAAAAATATCTCAGAGTTGAGATAATATGAATGTCAATGTCATACCACCTACCTTCAACAATTACCAACCCATAACCACTCGTTTCATCTATCTCTCTACGCACTTTCTCTTTTTCCTTTTCTTTTTTTAAGTTTATTTATTTTGAGAGAGAGAGACACAGAGTGTGTGAGTATGCACAAGAGGGGGAAGGGAGAGAGAGAGAGAGAGAGAGAGAGAGAGAGAGAGAGAAAGAGAGAATCCCAAGCAGGCTCCACAGCCTTAGCACGGAGCCTGACACAGAACCCACAGACCGTGAGATCAAGACCTGAGCTGAAATCAACAGTCAGGTGCTTAACCGACTGAGCCACCCAGGCGCCCCCTCTCTACCCACTTTCTATCTTTCTTCCATCCCTTTCTCCCTCCCCGACAAACAGAATTATTTTGAATGCATAATGTCATATCATTTCATTCATAAATATATCAATATCTACTTCCAAGATTTAAAAAAAATTTTTTTAATGTTTATTTATTTTTGAGAGAAGACAGAGACAGAGTGCGAGGCACGGAGGGGCAGAGAGAGAAAGGGAAATAGAGAATCTAAAGCAGGCTCCAGGCTCTGAGCGGTCAGCATAGAGCCTGATGTGGAGGTGAACCCACGAACCCTGAGATCATGACCTGAGCCGCAGTCAGATGCTTAACCAACTGAGCCACCCCAGCGCCCCTCTAAAAAGACTTTTTTAAAAAATGCCATTTTGGGAGGTGTAGGTGGCTTAATCGGATGAACGTCCAGCGCTTGATTTTGGCTCAGGTAATGATCTCATGGTTCATGAGTTCGAACCCTGCATTGGCTCTGTGCTGGCAGGTGCAGAGCCTGCTTGGGATTCTCTCAGTCTTCCTCTCTCTGCCCTTCTCCCACTCACACTCTTTCTGTCAAAATAAATAAACTTTTTAAAACATGCCACTTTCACATCCAAATATTTAACAATAATCTCTTAATATCAAATGTCCTGTCAGCATTCCAGTCTCTGCAACCGTCTCAATTTTAAATAATTATTTCAAGTCAGGAAGTAACAAAGACTCACAAATTGCTACTGGTTGCTACTTCCCATTTCTTTTTTTTAATCTACAGAGTCTCACTCCTCCCTATTTCTCTTTGTCTTACAATTTATTTGTTGAAGAAATTCATTTGTGTAGTTCCCAACACTCTGCATTTTCTGACTGCATATTTGTGGTGTTAACATGTTCCTCTGATCTCAGTATTTTCTATAAACGGGCAGTTAGGTCTAGAAGCTTGATCGTATTCTGGTTCATTTTTCTGGCAAGAATTTTTCATAGATGGTGTTGTGTACTTTTACTAGAAGTGATAGATATGGATGTTTCTCTCTTTGTGAGGTTAGCTGCCAATGATGACCAATGGCTAGATCGATGGTGCTCAACTGGGGCAACTGGGTCCCCCACCGTGGCACTTGACAGTGTCTGGAGAAATATTTGGGTGGAACAACTAAGGAAAAAGTAGTACAACTGGCAGTGAGTGGTTACAGCCCAGGGATGCTGTTCAATACCCTAAATAGTGCGACCCCAACTGTGTGACCCAAAAGGTAAACAGGGCCGAGTTGAGAAACCTTGAACTAGATCCATAAATTCAACAGCGGTGGCAAAATATTCTATCAATCCCTCTTCATTTCTTCAACAGAATAGAGTTATAAAGAGCAGCTTCCTCCCAACAACTCTATGTAGTTGGAACAAAAGACAGGATACATGTTGGACCCTTTCCTTTTATTTACTAGGTTTCAAAATAAGTTGGTTCCCTTATATCCACCAGATATAACCAATGAGGGCTCTTTTTGGGTTTTAGTATCAGTATGAATCCTTGGGTTTAAACATGTTTGATAGGTTTCAGCCCACTCAGTTATTCTTATTGATGCTCTAACTGTCCTACCTCTGGCCAGTGGAAGCCTCATCAACTTAGCTCCAAAGTTCTTCTGCCGCTTTCCCCATAGTCTTAGCTCCCCTGCTTTCTGATATGTGCAACATTGTCTCTTTCAGTGGGAAATGGTGTTTAGAGAACACAATGTGGATGTGCTCATGAGTACTCTTTCTATTTTTGCTTAATGTTTATTTACTTTGAGAGAGACAACAAGTGAACAGGGGAGGGGCAGAGAAAGAGGGTGAGAGAGAGAATCCCAAGCAGGCTCCACACTGTCAGCATGGAGCCCAATGCGGGGCTCGAACTCACAAACCATGAGATCATGACCTGAGCTGAAACTGAGTGTCAAAAGCTCAACCGACTGAGCCACCCAAGCATCCCTACTCTATTTTTATGAACACTTAACCAAACATTCCTTTCAACCTTCCAGATTTTAGCCTCAGTGAAATCTTTCTGAACTGTTAAATATAATCTGTTTATTAATTAGTCATTAACATTATATATAACACACCTCACACAGAATAATTACGTGATACTAACAAAATTAACAAAGTACTGCATAATAAATATAATAACATAATAAGTAAAATCCATTTTTGCCCCATGGTGAGTAGACTGCTCACTCAAATACGATAAATTATTTATGCACTGAAGTAACTGATCTGAATTAATCTGAAAATTTCATAATTTATGATGCACTAAAATAACTCACTCCTAATTAATCTCCAATGGAGAAGTGGTTATCCAAGGAGGTTTATTCAGTAAGGAAAAATTTCACTGGAAAGTCATTTTAAGAAATGTTTCTTCTTCTTGTTGCTAAAAAAGCAAAAATTTCGGGGCACTTGGGTGGCTCAGTCAGTTAAGCATCCGACTTTGGATCAGGTCATGAATTCAGGGATCGTGAGTTTGAGCACCACATCAGGCTCTGTGCTGACAGCTCAGAGCCTGGAGCCTGCTTCGGATCCTATGTCTCCCTCTCTCTTTGCCCCTCTCCTACTCACATTCATTCTGTCTGTCTGTCTGTCTCTCTGTCTCTCTCTCTCTCAAAATGTTTCTTAAATAAACATTTAAAAAATTTTTTAAAAATTTCTAAGAGAATATCCTAGAACAAATGTTACAACTTCTTAAGAAGCAGCATTAGTGGAGGTCACAGATTCAGAAATCACACTAACTGAAGGACCTAGATGCTGTGAGAGTAAGTAGTTAAATCTTCTATTTGAACACGGTACATGAATAGTAAATGTATCAACCCAATTCATAAAAATATTTAGCACAGAGTCAGGCATACAGTTATGTTCTCAATAAATGTAAAACAAAAAGAATTTACATACTTCCTTCACCTCCTTGAAAATGTTGACAAACTCTTCATTGATGGCTAAACTTCTGCGTTCAATATCTCCACGTAAATTCCTTCGAGTCCGCAAACTGTTTTCAATGAAAAAGGTTGAAAGTGCCTTGAGAGCTTCCAACATCTCCTACACAAGTGATAACAGAAGACAATTACTGGGACTGATTTTCAAATGTTTTCCGAATCTCAAGCCAAATTTTAATGAAATCATTTTCAAATTATGTTTGCATTAAACAATCAAAAAAAATACTGGATGGCCTTCACAGTACTGAATAGTAAACTTACTTCCAGAACACAGTAAGGATGTACTTACTTATGTACTGTAGCATATATAAGAGATTATTCACAGCAGGATAGTCTGGAATTGTCAAGACTGGAAATACCCTCAATGCCCATCTAAAGAGGATTGGTTACAGAAATCATGATATATCCATTTTAGGAAAGATGAAAATTCTTTATGTACTTAATATAAACTTCAAGATACAGTAAGTGAAACAACAAGGTATAGAAACAGTTATAATACCAACTGTTACAAAAGAGAAAGGACTATGGTGCATGCATATTTGCCAGTGAATAGATAAACTACCTCTGGAAGGATGTAGTATGTAAGAAGTAAGCACCACCTATAGCCTCCAGGCAGAGAACTGAGTAACTGGCAGCAGAGAGGAAGGCCTCTTTGAGGCGACTTCGGAACAGAGGCCTGAGTGACAGGAAAGGCATCCATGGGAACCAAGCCAGTCCACTAGAGGTTTTAGGCAAAGGAGTAATATAACATGCTTTATATGTTCAAAAGTTTATTCCAACTTTGTGAGGAGAGCAGATGGGGGGCGGGGGGGGGGTGGCAAGAAAGGAAGCAGGCAAGAAGAAGAAACTAAAATAATCCCAACAAGATTTGACAGTGACTTAGAACAAGACAGTAGCATTGCAGACGAAGGGGAGATGATCCGAAACAATTTTTTTTTTCAAGGCAGCGCCTATAGGATTTGTTAATGGACTGAATATATGATGTGAAAACAATGACAGGAATCAAAACTATTTATACACTTTTTGTTTCTGTGGGTACCTGATGTTCTTTACTAACAGTGGAAAGTAGAACCAGTTTGGAGAAAAACTAAGGGTCTGGCTGTGTTAAGTTTTTACGATGTCGATCAGGTATCTAATTGGAGCTGTCATATGAGCAACCGACTGTTACAAATCTGGAGTTCAGTAGAGATGTCAAGAACAGGGTTCTAAATTTGAGAATCACCACCCTTTTTGCTATTTAAAACCATGAAAGAAAGAGACCTCTCTTACAGAGACAGTCTGCATAGAGGACAGAAGGGAGAAAGAAGACCAAGCCCAGGACATCCAATAGTACCCTAACTCCAGATACAAATTCCTACAGCTGAACTAGCATATATCCTAACAGGTTTCTGTGTTTCTGTTAACATGGTATTGTGCGATATTGGCTGGATTGACAAAAACAGTAAAGCTATTTAAATTCAGTTCTATATTTAAAAGATCATTACAAAGATTTACTGTACAAAAAAGAAAAAGATGAAGAAAAACCGTAGACACTAAGGAGGGCACCTGTTGGGATGAGCAATGGGTGTTGTATGGAAACCAATTTGACAATAAATTTCATAGAAAGAGAAAGAAAGAGAAAGAAAGAAAGAAAGAAAGAAAGAAAGAAAGAGAAGGAAAACCATAGAATGAAGCCACTTCTTTTGACTACAACCTTGAAATTTCCTAGGCCTGGCTCAGAAGTGGTTAGTAAATCATGAACGGACAAGACCACACACACAGGTGCAAATTAGTTTCCTCAGTTATTTGATCATATGATTTAACCTAGTTATACTTTTTCCATACCTTATTTTTCTCCTGGGTAAAAAGAGAGATAATGTTACCTACATCATAGTAGCTGTATTAAATGAGATCATACATGCCAGTATCAGACACATTAAACACGTAATAAACTGTATGATAACATGAACATTTAATAAGAAACAGTAAGGGCCAGGCACTGTGCTGAGAACTCCAGACAGACTCTCTTGGTGAATCTCCACAACAACCCTGAGAAAGTTACCAGCAGAAGTCCCAATTTAGAAATGATGAGAAACAAGCTTAGAGAAATTAAAGGACTTACTCAAATCATGGTGCTTCGGTTTGATGGCTGTATCCAATAAGCGGTTGCCCCAGAGCCCGTCTTTCTTACTATGTTATAATGTTATTTTTTATACACATTCTTATTGACGGCTTATTTTCAGTTACCTACAAATTTATCTATAAAGGTCTCTCTCACTGCTACATATACTTTTTCTTTATGTCTACTGGTATGACGAATTTACCTAAAGATTCAAAGATACAGAAGAGATCATCACCTAGGACAGGGGCTGAACGGAGGAGTTTCAGGTGCTACTCGGGAGAGGATGTGGACAGTTTATCTTGCAAAGAAAAACAGCATGAGCCCAGATATCACAGACAGTGCTTAGCTAACAACAAAAACTGATACAAATTATTTCGTTTGAGCTCTGAGCAAACAGTAGTTCTCTCGCGCTGCAAATCACTCCAGTCGTTCTCACTCGTCAAGTGGAAACGCTCAATTATGCCTATCCGGGTTCCCCAGTCCCTCCAACCCCCTTTGCGTCGACTTGTCTTGTAAGTTACTCCGACACCGGCTTCTAAGCCTGCCCGGGGCTCTGCTCTCTCCCTGCTCAGACCCCCGAACACCTCCGGGGTACGGAGATTCCACGGTTGGCTACCCGGATCCAGAGTCTTCCAGGACAGGTTTTTCAAATAAGGGGTGACACCAAGGCCCTCGGCCTCCCTCTTCCTACCCGCCCCACGCCCGATCCGGAGGGATGGAGGCACGAGGCAGTGGGTGTCGACAAACGCCTCCCCCGTCCAGGGTCAACTCCGCGGACGACTCTGGACCCCGGGCCCTGACAGCCCCGGTTACCTTGTCGTTGTCCAGCCGCGTCTCCAGGATCTTATGCAGCTTCCGCGACAGCGGGTTGTTGGTCTGCGCCGGGCCCCCGCCTGCCCCATTGCTGAGGCCGTTGGCAGCCGCGGACGCGGGTACCGCTACCACTTCCCCACCGCTCTCGGCCATAGTGTCGCAGACCCCGCCCCCAGCTCCGAGGGGACCCCCTAGGCTTTCGGCAGGGACCCGCGCCGGCCGCGCGAGTACTGCGCGTGTGCGTGGACTGCGCGCATGCGCCCCGGGTCCCGGAAGGCTCCGCCAGCCCTGCTCAGCTGAGCCACGCTGCTGGAGAGGCGGGGTTAGAGCGAGGGGTAGGTGGGCAGATCCTTAGTGTGCCCTTAGGGAAGGGGAGACTGAGGGGAGGTTTCGCATACGGTCTGGAAATCGAATCGTGTTTAAAGTTTGGGGATTACGGTTAAAAGGATTTCAGAATCCTGAATCAATGAAAATCTAAGCTAAGTTTGAGTAACATACACTTGACACCCGTGCCTGGCGTATAAATTCTACAGTAATTAAATTCATTTTACCTGATTTTTTTTTGTAAAGTATTTATTAAAGGTGTATTACATGCTAGGTACTCGAGTAGGCATTAGGGGATGTCTGAGACAGAGGAGTTAAATGTTAAGATTGTGATGAGTGCTCTAAAGGTATTGAAGTGCAGAGTTGAAAGAGAATAGTGAAGGGAGGGTCCTACTTCACCCAGGAAGGTCTGGTAAGGAGTTCACATTTAAACTGAGATTTGAAGGAGAGTCTGAAACATGGGGTGAAATCGTCCCCCCCCCCCCAGAGTGTATAAATGCAAAGGTCCAAAGACAAGAAGAAACTTGGAGGGTCCGTGAATTGGCCAAAGCCAGTGCGGCTGCAGAATAACAGATGAGGGAGTAATAAGATGAAAAATAAATTCCCCAGAGGGTCTAGATAACAAATATTGTTGTTTTTTACATTTCTTTTCTCACTTAAAAAAAAAAAACTGGATCAGAACAAATCTCTGAACTTCTTGTTTAGTATTTTTCTGAGACACTAACCATTAAGCTTTTGTCCTTAATTTACGTTGTCGTGTGTGTATGTATAGACATAGACATAGACATATATGTATACCTGACCAAGACACTCACCCCAGTTCCGGCAAGTGAAGAAATGGCTCAACTGGCAAAAAGAAACGACTGTAAAGTCCCTATGACCCCAATAAGAAATACATAGGACTTAGATGAAGAAAACTTGCAAGTGTTATTGAGGGAAAAATAAAGAGGAGGGAGGGAGCAAGAGAAAGAGAAACTAGAAACAACCAAAGTGTCCACTGATAAAGTACTGAACAAATAAATTATGGTTCGTTCACTCAGTACAATACTATGCAATTCGGGTGCCTGGGTGGCTAGGTCAGTTAATCGATTGACTTCTGATTTCGCCTAAGGCATGATCTCACAGTTTGTGAGTTTGAGCCCATGACGAGCTCCACACTGGCAGTGTGGAGACTGCTTGGGATTCTTTCTCTCTCTGCCCCTGCTCTCTCTCTCTCAAAATAAAGAAACTTAAAACAACAACAACAAACAATACTATGCAACTGTTATCTACCACAAAGGAAATTTAAATGCTAATGTAGAAAGAATTCCAAAATACAATATATGGAAAAAGCAACATGCGTTATAGTGCATATAGTGTGATCCCTGTGTGTAAGAAAGAGACAGCTTTTTCTTTTTTTTCAGGGTGGCTTTCCTGTGGAAGGGAGGCTTTTACTTTTCATTTTGTACGTTTCTAAATGGACTGAAAATTCCTACCTTAACCCATGTGCCACTGAATTATTAACAGAGATTAAGGTAGGGTAATTATGGTCTATTTTTCTTTGCTCACTTGTACTTCTCTGAATTTGCAGTTGTAAAAACAGGAAGCAAAATCATTTGAAAATTAGAATATTATGTGGTTGTATAAAAACAGAAATTATTGCACAATTTAAACATACTTAAAGCCATTTGTATATTTTTTAATTATCATATGTCCCATAAGGCTAACTGTAAATTATAAGTTAAATGCTTAACATCAATATTTTTCAAATGTTAAAATAAATGTTCTGGTGAGCCTTGTCAGACATGTATTTATATATACGTATGTATATAATTGAACATAAAGGTTTTCTTTTCGTGAAAATGTGAAAGGTAATTTTGTATACTGAGCTCTTTAGTATACTAGAGCACTAAAAGAATTAAAACACAGGCTCTGGCTTAAATATTTCAGTTTAATGGGAGAATAAAAACATGCACATAAAAGGGTAAAGCATTCTTGGAGTGCCTGGGTGGCTCAGTCGGTTACGCGTCAGACTCTTGGTTTTAGCTCACGTCATGATCTCACAGTTGGTGGGTCCAAGCCCCTTGTCCTAGCCCTGCTTGGGATTCTCTGTCTCCCTAGTTCTCTGTCCCTCCCCCGCTGGCTCTCTCTCTCTCTCTCTCCCTCCTCCCTCTCTCTCCCTCCTCCCTCTCTCTCTCCCTCTCAAAAATAAATAAATAAACTTAAAACAAAAAAAGTAAAGAATTCTTACATAACTACAGGGGAAATGTGCTGTAGAGTAAAATGTAGAGATTCTTACCTTCCAAGTGATGGTTGAAATCATTTGGCTTCTGAAATAAGTGGGAATCATATTATACTGGCATGGCTTCATTAAAATATGATATGACATGTATTAAAGCCATATCTGGTGAGTCATAGAATTTTCAGCCCTCTGTATTTTTCACTGTATTAATAGCAATAGCTCCTATCGCTTAGCGTTCAAATGTACTGATAATCTGACTCAGTGCTAGATATTTTTAATATACTATCCTTATCTTGATAACTACCCTGCAGCATAAGGGTCATTACCATGTTATCATGTAATTAGTACTCTGACGAGTAATCCAAGACTAACAATCTTTCCAAGGCTATATGGCTAACCTTCGATTGCATAGCTACTTCTAGCTAAGTTGGTAATTAGTTGCCAAATTCTATTACTGCTTCCTTGTTTTGGTTTTGAGTTGTGTACACTTCTTACTTGGAACGTAGTTAAAATTTTGTAACTAAACGTCCAAATGCATTTTATGCTGGCATTGACTTGACCCCATTCTTACTGCCTTCATATTGACACCAGCATTATTTTTCTTTAAAAAAAATTGTTTTTAATGTGTCTTTGAGATGGAGAGACAGAGCACAAGCAGGGGAGGGGCAGAGCGAGAGGGAGAGAGAGAATCCCAAGCAGGCTCCATGCTGCCAATGCAGAGCCCGAGTGGGGCTCCAGCCCACCAACTGTGAGATCATGACCTGAGCCAAAACCAAGAGTCGGGTGCTGAACCAACTGAGCCACCCAGGTGCCGCTAAGTTAGAGTTCTTAATTGCAATTAATAGGAGCTGACTGTGGATGGCTTAAGGAGAAATTTCTTTAACAAGAGGATATTGGGTAAATCTCAGAATCAACAGGAAGGGTGAAGAGCCGTGCTCAGAAAAGAGGCAGAAACAAAAGGAGATGGGCCACATGGAACAGTTGCCAAAATCACCCCACACAGCAGCTCGCTGTGGGTCCCATTGTCATTACTGCTGAAGCCTGGGATCCACAGGTCACTGTAGCCACATTCCTGACCCCGGACGTAGGATGCCTCCGTGGCACAATTGCCAATGCTCTTTGGAGACTATGTTGCTTAAAATTTTACCATTCCTGAGGAGTTCTCCACTGTCTCTGCTTTTTGTGCCACTTTCTCTTGTTTCAAAGTCTAGGACAAGTGCTTCCCATCGGCAGAGCTCAGGTAACAGATTTGTGCACATTGTCAGGGAGCTGAGAAAGTGGACAATTGCTCAAAACTAGAAAGAATATTCGTATACTATGCAGCTCCCTCTCCCACACATGCACGCATGCATACACATACGTATATTGCAAATGTCTACCACAATTTACCCCTTTGAAACAAAATTTTTTTAAACGTTTATTCATTTTTGAGAGAGACAGAGTGCGAGTGGGACAGAGGCAGAAAGAGAGGTAGACACAGAACCCGAAGCAAGCTTCAGGCTCCGAGCTGTCAGCACAGAGCCTGACACGGGGCTTGAACCCACAAATTATGAGATCGTGACCTGAGCCGAAGTCAGAGGCTCAACTGACTGAGCCACCCGGGCGCCCCTCACCCGGGTGATATTGCCCCTTTAAGTGGATAATATCAACATGTACTCTTCTTCCCATACTTATCCTTAAAAAATATTTTTGCCTCATTTAATGTAATTTATTTACCACATAACCAAAACCCCACTTACTTTATCCCGTGAGGTAACAAGCCAAAATCGAATCTGTTTGTCTATTCCAAAGTCAAAAGCTCAAAGTCAGAATTCTCTCTAGTTTTGCTCCCCCCAATATCATGTAATTTATGGATTAAACTGTAAAGTAACCACCGAGCACCAGTTTTTTAAAAAGTGCTATTCGAGAAAGAAAAGTCAGAAGACAGGGGTAATGTCAGAGTTTTTATTTCTACAACTTCACAGAGCTGTTATTGGAACACAGGATTTCTGTTCTTTCCACGACCCCTTTGTCTTCAGCCAACACATCAGGTGACCAAAGTTCTTTATCCACTGAGGTGACCCAAACTGCCATGCCAAAAGCCGCTGGGCCTCTGATGGGTCTGGCTGTATGAAGTTACTGTGGTTTCCTTTTAATTTGGCCCCTGGACATGGAAGTCCTAGGAAGTACTCAGGGAATTCTGTAGATGGCTGTCCTTACTTCTTTCTGGCCCTACTATATAGCAACACCCAACTTCCCCTTTATGGTCAGGATCCGTCACTCTGCACAACCATATAACTCCCTTTTTCGTCTGTTCACCCACTTCCACTAGGAAGGAGTCTCATCATCTGGTTCAACTCAGACAACTATTATTACTCCTGGAATATGTTAGTTCTCTTTCCTAGGGCCCTGACACTTTTAATGACAAGATCTAAGTTATGCAATAACACACATCTATTCTCATACTTTTAGAAGACAGTAGAAGTGCAACCAACACAGAATTCCAGAGTCAACATCAGCAGCAGTGCCAGACTTTTGGAGGACCAAGAGCAAAATGTTTGCAAGTGGGTAATAAATACCATGGAGATGCCATTCCCACCCACGCCCTTTATTTGTAGATCGTATATTC